AGACCAAAGACTTACTCATCACAAATAATTTTTTTCAACAACATAAATGGACCTCAAATCGACTATGTGGAACGAGATGACCGAGATGCTCAATGTCAGCAGTCAGAACAGGATGTGTGCCAATTGTGAAAGCATCAAGTGCTCATGGTCAAGTTCAAGCTGAAAAAAATTAAAACAAGTCCAAGAGAGCCAAAGTATAACCTTGAATATATACCACCTGAATTTAGAGACCATCTTAAGAATACATTTTACACATTGAACATTAATGACCGAAAACCTGTCAAGTTGTGGGAGGACAAGAATATATCTGAAGAAAGCAAAAGGTCATGAAAAAGACTTAAAAGACCAAAGTGAATGACGAAAGAGACTCTGAAACTTGCTCTTGAACATAAAAGTAGCTACAGCAAATGGAAGAAATAATGAAGAGCTGATCAGAAGATTTCAAAGGGTAGCTTGAAAAGACCAAGTCAAATATTATAATGAAGTGTACAAAGACCTGGAGTTAGAAAACCAAAAGGAAAGAACATGCTCAGCATTTCTCACGCTGAAGGAACTAAAGAAAAAAATTCAAGCCTTGAATTGCAAAACTGAAAGATTCTATGAGTAAAATATTGAACAACACAGGAAACAACAAAAGATGTTAATACAGAGTCACTGTACCAAAAAGGATTGTTCAGCGTCCCACCATTTTTGGAGGTAGTATATGATCAAGAAAGGAGCTTTGGTAGCAGAGTGGTTACAAATTGGGCTGTGAACCTTAAGGTCAGCAGTTCGAAACTACCAACTCTTTCGCGGGATAAAGATGGAGAATTCCTGATCCATCTGATTTATGGTACAGAATACTGAACATACTATGGACTTTGTGGCACTGTTGGATAAACTGCTGACTACAAGGTCAGTGGTTGAAACCCATCAGCTGCTCCTCAGAAACTCTATATTGGGTCATTAAGAGTCAGAACCAACTTGACAGCGTTTAACCTATATCACCAGAAAAATGAAAAGAAAAAAAAATGTGTTGGAAAAAGTACAGCCAGAATGCTGCTTAGAAACGAGGCTGGCAAAACTGTGACTCGTGTACTTCGGACATTGGGGCCATTCCCTGGAGAAGGACATCATACTGGTAAAGTTGAACGGCCATGAAAAAGAGGAAAACTCTCAAGGAGATAGATGGATTGATCTAGAAGCTGCAACCATGGGCTGAAGTAAGTCAGGATGGCACAGGACTGGGCATTGCTTCATTCTGTTGTATAAAGCATCCTTATGAGTTAGGTACTCGACGGCATCTAATGACAACAGATAGACCAGGACTCTATTATTTCACTGCCTACAATACATGCAGAGTAAAAGGCAAGTTGAAATTCTACAAAAACCAAACTGCTGAGATTATCCACATTTTATTCCTTTAGTTTCCTTTTTTGCCCATCCTTGAGAATAGTACTACACTACTGATGTTTTGTACTCTTGCATTCGTATTGCATATGTTTTCATCTTTACTGTTAGCGGCTCTGCATCTGCCCTGTTTCTGACTGTACTTCCAGAGAAGCAATGCCTAATCCAGTGAGGTTTTCCCTTTCATTAACTCAAATCAAGTGGATCAGAGTAAGCTGAGAGCATTGGCTTCTTGGCCCGTTCTTAGCACTTGTTGTTAAGTACCATGAAGTTGGTTCTGACTCAAAGTGACCCTGCACAGGGTTTCCAAGATTGTAAATCTTTACGGGAGCAGAAAGCCAGTGGAACGGCTGGTCGTTTCGAACTGCCGACCTTGAGGTTAGCAGCCTAATTCATAATCAGTATGCTACCAGAGCTCCTTGTTTAATGCCCTCAAGACATTTCAGGTTGTAAAATGTGCTTTAGAAATTAAGTTTTACTAATATGATCTCAAGGAGCTCTGGTAGCGTAGTGGTTACGAATCGGGCTGCGAACCTCAGGGTCAGCAGTTTGAAACTACCAGCTGTTCCGCATGAGAAAGATGAGGCTTTCTGCTCCCGTAAAGATTTACAGCCTCGCAAATCCTGTACAGGGTTGCTATGAGTCAGAACCAACTCCACGGCACGTAACAACAACAACATGATCTCACTTCTTTTAAAACAATTTTTCTAGGAAACTCCAAACATACTACTATAGCAATACATAAACAATTTCCTCAATCCAGAGAGTATTTGTTTTTATTTTATACATACAAGGGGCTTCAAGAATTTTGTAAATAAATGGACTTTAAAGATCATGGGCTTTTTGCACAAAGGTTTTGAAGCCCTATGGAATATATTTAAATTACCTCCTACTCACTTCCGGGATTTTTGCTGCTGAAACAGTCAGATAAGCATAAAACACAGATGTCCAAGAATATTCTGTTACACCACTGCTTATAATGTGAGAGACTTTACGGATTGGAGTGTAACAAGTGTAAACAGAAGGGAGCGAGAAGAGAGTTCAAAGTGACATCTCATCTACAAATCAGGAAAGTGAGAAAGGTTAAGTGGCTTGTTCAGAGAGACAGCTAGGAGTAGCTAGCAGAAATTTAGGTTAAGTGTGAACTTCTCTAGCACAGAATTTTTAATTTAAGTAATCAGCTTTTTTGTGGTCGTTAAAAAGTCTCATTTTACATAGACTTGTCAGAGGTATGAAATATTCATCTATTTGTTAACAAAGAAACTAGCACGTAAGTTGGAAGTCAAAGACCCATATCATGGAACTCATACTCTCCAATTCCTACCTTTTTCAATTCTGTAAAAACTATGAATGTTTTACTTGAAAGAGTGCTTAAGAGAGAATTCATATCTTTATAGTGTAGGTGAGGAAACAAGCCAAAAGCAAAAAGGAGACTGATGTAAAGTGACCCAAACTCATGGCAGAGCTGGGTCTAGAACTGGGTTGTGACCCAGGGCTCTTTCTACCAGTTCCCTTCCTTATCCTTAGCATCAAAGCAAGCATTTTAGCTATGCTGGGAAACTTTAGATAATTCAAGATGATTCTAGTCATATTTGATATTTACTTGAAATTTTAAGGCCTAGGGTCACCTTAAATCACTGCCTGGGCTTTGTGATATAGTTTCCAGATCCAAACACATTAGAAATGACCAATGAGACACAGTGGAAGATACAGCAACTGATAACAGTAAAGGCAGACACACACATGCAAGAAGAGGGCAAGAGCAAAGGCATTCAGGACTCTGGTCACCTCACACACAGCCACGGAAACTCTCATTCTGAAAGGAATGCAATGTGTATAATTTCAGCAACCATGCTCTTGGCAGAATTCCAGGTTGAATTTTACTCTACGTGTTATTCTAAACCCCCAATTTAGTACTTCTGGGTATCTTAAAAAATTGAGGTAGCAGTCGCCACTCAACATATTAAATGCCAAGAGAGCCGAACAGGTAAAGGAAGAAATTTTAAACCTAATTCATGAAGGAAAATCTTAAAATGTTGTTCATCTTATTTCACAAGATGCTGTTAAGTGCGGCTGAGTCAGTTCTGACTCATAACTACCTCGTATAAAGTTTCCATGGAGCAGCTGCAACCTTGCAATTAGCAGTCCAGTGCTTATCCTACAGCACCATACTAGAGTATATCTCCAGTTATCATTGATAACGCAACTAAATTATGACATACCTTTAATATTTATTATATCAAGTGTCTACTGTTTTGAAATATGTTCATACTATCATTGGTCTCTTCTCACCTCAAGGGGAATGCTAATCTTAAAAAAATAAAGCTCTTAATATTATCTTTCTTTTAAAGCAATCCTAATTTTTAAAGATAATTCTAAAAAAGAACTTATAAATAAATCTAAATAAAAATAAGGTTTATTTCTTATGTCATTTATACATTTGTGTGCTCACTGGCTGAAAATACGCAGGCGTCCTCCTAAGAAACATTACTAAAGTTAATTCATTGTGAACATTCCCTGGCTTCCCTCCTTTATCCCCAGAATCCTTAACATAGAAAATTTGCCAGGTCTTTCCTGATCTTTCAAAGCAGTAAACTTGTAAGTGACAACTATGAAGGAACCCTTTTAGAAACCCTTTCCTTCAAGCACAACACTAACCTCCTCCCCTCTCCCCATATTATGTCCCAAACGTTTTTTTCTTTTTTAAAGAACGTTGTATTATGCTTTAGGTGAAAGTTTACATAGCAAATTAGTTTTCCATTCAATCATTCATACACATATTATTCCCTAATATTTGTAGTAATCTCCACAATGTGTTAACACACTCCTCATTTCCACGCGGGGTTCCCCATTTCTCTTTGTCCAGTTTCCTTACCTCTTCCCTGCATTCTTATCTCTGTTTTGGGGCAAATGTTGCCTTGTAGGTGTTGTATAGTTGATTATACTAAGGAGTGTTAACTGTTGACTTTATAGACTAATCTATTATATTGCTGAGAAGTGGCCTCCAAGAGTGGCTTCAGTTCCTTCTTAGAAGGGTGACTTAGGCCAGTAGTCTCAAGGTTCCTCCAGTCTCTAGTAGACCAATAAGCCTGGTCATTTTTATGAATTTTAGTTTTGTTCTACATTTCTCTCCCATTCTACCTGGGGCCCTAAGCATTATTTCATTATTTAAAAGCACATATTGACAACCCTACCATGCAAAAACTTCCAAAGAAATAACTTCCACTGTGTTGTTCTTTACAAAAGGACAATTAACATGCTTCCAATGATAAGAACAAAGTCCTGGTGTGGCACAGCAAGATAATACACTGGACTGCAAGGTTAGGTTGAACCAAAATGTCGATGGTTCAAACCCACCAGCCGCTCCTCGGCAACCCTATACAGGGTTGCTGTGAGTCAGAACTAACTCTCGATGGCACTTCACAACAACAACAACAATGACAAGAACTGGCGAATGTGTGCTGGCATTAAAACTGATTTTAAGTTACATGGGAATGAAATTTTAAAGTAGGATTTTCCTACTACATTTACATCACACCCCTTAAAGGCAGCAAAGGCCCTTTGATTGCATTTCACTCAACCATAAAGAAAGCCAAAGCCTGTTATCTTACCTCAAACTGTGGATAAGGAGGAGTCATGGCTGAAGGGGGCCCTGGAGTAGGAGGTGGCATCCCTGAAGTGGGCGGGAACAGACCCAAGGCATTCAGATTTAATCCAGGAATTAAATGTGCTTGAAGCTGCAATGGCAAAAAGTTCACTTAATTTTACAATGACAAGGTCAGGAGTATAAGTGACAATTATCAGATTATGACCTCTAGTGCCTAATAATCAAAATTGTCTTATGATTTACATTTTTAGAACACAGCAGATGTACAATGTGGCTATACATGAGTATACAGTTTACATCTGTAACTATTCCTTGGTATTTTTAAATCTGTGTGCTGGTTTGATCCCCGACCCCTTGATCTGCAACTTCACTGGAGTTTTCTCAAGGGCAGGGAACACATCCTTCCCTTCCCTTCCCCTGCACCTGCTCACAGTATAGAAACAAGTATGTATTCTGCATACTGTAGCCACATTGTACATATCACTGACCAATCCTTTATTACACAAAGAAGCAAACAAGATTTGTTCATTGTAAGGCAAACCAAGTACACAGAACCAGCTTTACTTCTTGGATAAGATTTGCACTCAAGGAGGGTTTAAAGGCTTAAAATAAAGTCAAGTCCTTTGGAAATTAGTTCCCTAACCCTATGCAACTGCAGCCCCTAAGGTTATCTCTGGAGAAGGTACAGGAGGTAGGAGATTTGGGTGTTTAGTTTTATAAGGTTTGAGGAAGTAGAAGTAGAAATTAGAGTTCAGACTGGTGCTTATTTGAGACTATCTTAAAGGAAAAAAAGGTCTATGGAGGTAGATTTACACCCAACTGACTGAAATATTTGAGCAAGCAGGCAGGCAGTAATGTGGGGTAAAAAATAGTTTTTTGTTTGTTTTTTAACTCTCATTTACTTTACAATATGAGATGAATTTCTGATGTGTTCCATTTGTAGCACCATTAAGGAATGTTAGCAGTTTTCATTTTAATGGCCTTAGTTGCACTACACAAACTGATTGGTCATTTGAAACTCTATTTTCTAATTTTATATAACTAAAGTTTAAACTAGTACTCTTAACCTTTATACAAACTACATCTGAGGCATGCAAAGTAGATAGAAGCCCCATTTTACAGGTGAAGAACCTGAGGCTCCGAGGGACCAAGTAAACTGTCCCAAAGAATAGAGCTGCAGATAATACATGGTTGAGCAGGGATTCAACCCAGGAAACAAACTTATAAAGCCCACATCTCTACTATATTAAACTCTTTCAAATTAACATTATAAAGGAAATAGTACACTTTTGTAGGTAGGTATTAGCCTTATACTTCACAGATAAAAGAAATCAAGGCTTCTAAATAGTAAATAATTTGCTAAAAACACATTATTAAGTTAAGACAAAGTTCGTATTTTCCTTACTATTCCATGGTCCCTTCCAATGGTGCTAAAAATTGATTAAAAACTACTTCTTAAAATGAGGCCACTAAAGAGAGTGATATTAATGCAATAAAAAACATCTTTTAACTATTCATCAAAATAAAGACATGCTCCTCTTCATATTAAAACTAACGTTCATAGAAGCAATATCATTTTCATAAGACTCCCTGATTTTCTTCATTATCTCTTCTTCAGCTTTGGCACATGTTTCAACACTGCCTTTAACTGTAATGGTGCGTTCCGGATTATACAACGTCAATTCCTGCAATCTGCAGAATTAAAAAAGGGTAAAGAAAAGAACTGAGATTATAGGAGGAAGACAGTTAATTATTCTGCTACAGATAGTAATTAAAACCCAACTGGGAAAGCTGGCCCAACATAACTGAAAACGAGTAAGCTCCAAAAGACATGAAACCAAGTAGTGAAAAGCTGTGAGGACACTTCCCTTTCCACACTGTCTTCATAAAAATTACTGGGTGTATAGACTTCAATTAAAGTCCCTGTTTAAACACAGTTTACATCTTGACCACTTAAACCATTTCCACAGTTTTAACAGTGAAATGCAAAGGAAATGATCAGAGAGAACCAGTTTTACAAACCAGGAACCAGATGTACATTACCTTTAAGATGTACATTTCTAGCCCATGTTGACCAATTCTAGGCATAATTAAAAGTCTTATGAAATGATCTTTTCTGGGATACCAAGCAAAGAAGTAGCATGGGTAGGCATGATTCTAGAGAGCCAAACCCCAATTCATGTGTCTCAATTTTTGCCAAAATATGAAATAGTATAAATCAATTCACTCTGAGTACATTTTAAAAATGGTCCACTGATGGACTATTTAGATAACTTGAAATGTTAGATTGCAGTAACAATATTCAGAACTCAATCCCAACCCCATTTGACCCAGTTTCTACCAAAGCTTCAAACTCCACTAAGATTATATCTAAGACCACGTTGATAGGAGACATATGAGGAGGCTTCAGAAAGTTCATGGAAATATTCCATTACCTTTTAATTCCATAAACTTTCTGACATCCCCTCATATTTGGAACCCACATTCCTAGAGTCACAATTCATATTTTTACTACTAGCAAAAAGTCTTAGGATACACTTAAAACTGATGAATGGGATATTAACTCCTTAGCTTTCTCTCACACTTACTAAAAATGTAAATATCTATGCATGGAGGTTATTTGTCTTAAGTTATTTCTTTTAACACTAAATAAGAAGTTTACAATTCTGATTGTCAATCTCAAGCCACCTCCACCAACCCTTTTGTTGTACAGTTTTTAGAATAGCTGCTTCTGACATCGTTAGTTAATGCGCTGCACTGCAAAGTTGGTTTGAACCACAAGGCTGGTGGTTCACGCTCACCAGCTGCTCCTTAGAAACCCTACACAGGGTCGCTATGAGTCAGAATGGACTCAACAGTACTCAATCACAAACACAACAAGCTAGCTTTCAAGATTTTTTTCTTTTAAAACTCCCTTCTTCCTAAAAATAAAATTTATGACAGAGAAGGATCACAACTATATGTAGCATTTCATGTTTTTCCTTCTTTACAACCAAAAAAGACTATCTTACATCCTTACCACCCATCCTTTGAAAACTGTACTTCAGTCTTGCCCTACCATTTTCTTCGGTTCATCAAACTGTCCTACCTCATTGGGGTGGCGGGGCACTTTGATAATAAGAATAATTATCTCCAGAAAGAGAGAAATCTTTGCATATAATTTCCCAACACTAGGTGTAGTAATCAGTCTCCAAGATGAATGAGGCTGACTTGTGTGAGCAGTACTAGCAAAATGACAGAATATGACTTCTCATACTACATCATGAGAAACACTGCAGTTTCTGTCTTGCTCTCTTGCATCATTCACTCTGAAGAAAGTCAGCAGTCCTCTTCAGAGGTCCATGTGGTGAGATGCTGAGGCCACCCAGCAGCAATCTGCATTGACTTGTTAGCAGCGTTCTGAGACCTGGAGCCACAATCACCCAGCAAGGTTGCTTCTGAATTCTTGACCCACAGAAGTTAGGTGAGATAACAAACGCTTACTGCAGCTTGAATACAAAGTTTTGTGGGCAATTTGTTATACAGTAATAGATAATGAACTTTTTAAGTTATATACTTCAACTTTGGGAATAAATGTTAGAGAACATGTTTTCTCACAGATCATTGCTTATATGAATCACCAGCAAGGTAGCAGTTAACAACAACAAGGCAATGTAAATGTAAAACATTTCATTCTCCTGCCTATTCAGTGCAGAGATAGTGCTTTTAATATGGATTAGAAGCACACAGCAGTATTGTTCAAGGAGAGAAGATAGCCGAAACAGCTGGAAGTGAGTAAAGCTCCACCTACGATATAGTATGCTGCTTTAAAACTGTGTTTGAAATGTTCCTAAATCAAAACAAAGCAAGGCAACACTTACGGAGATATTGTGATTTTAGTGTCTGTGTCTTGTTCAATTTTTTTAAGGTTTCTTCCTTCTTTACCAATAAGTCGGCCTACAAAGTTATTATGGGCTAAAATCTTCAAGGGAATCTCTTCTGTGCTGTAATTAGAAAAATGGCCTTAATATCAGAGTAAGTAGATCCAAAGATCATCTTCATTCATTATGTCCAACCTGCCAACAAGAAAGCTTGATACCTGGTACAACTAAAGGTAGCTAACGAAAAGCCTATATTGTGGCAATTAGTGAATGGAGGAGTCAGACAACAACAACAAAAAGTAAGTTACTGGGATAGAAAATAATTTTTAGAATAATTTTCCTTTTATTTATTCATATCTACCTTCAATGTTAAGATTCTAGTAGCCTTTTAAAAACAACTATTACTCAAACCCATATTCTTAACCTGTCACTGTCAGAACACAATATACAAACACAAACCACTACAAATGTAGAATACAGTTTGTAATGCACGTCTAGAGATTTACAAAAAGAAATTCAACAGTGGTTACACTTTGGGTGAAGACTATTAAGAGCAGGAAGCAGAGCTTCTTCTTTCCATTTTATAACTTTGTAAATTTCCAAGTCATCTATATAATCACTTTTTTAAAGTACCACTGTGGTTAAGTTGGTAGAGGGATTGGATTGTCCTTTATTTTTCTTCATAGTAAAAAAGATAATCTTACATATCAGCATATATATTATTATCCCTATAATACAATACTATATATAACATAACTAAAATACATTTATCAAATTTAGTATTGGTGGTTAGGTTCTCTGGTTAAATCAAGTTACCTTACTCTGGATTCTACTTTTTTGTAGCATTGCTCAGTACACTGAAAGTAGCACAGAATCTAGCCACCACTCAGACGCCCAGGAGAAAAGATAGTTAGCTCTAACCTAATACTCAAATGAACCTCTAGTTTACATAGGCACAGGATGAGATTTCCCCTACCACCATATTCTCTGCTCCTCCATGGTAGGAATGGGTAAAGAACAGGAGCTCCAGTGATCACTCAGTTAAAGCACAAGTGAGCCTGGGTTCCCTGCCTCAGGGGAATTCCAGCCCTGCTTCTTATAGGTGGGCTTTTCCACATCCCCCAGCCACCTTCTTCCACAATCTGAACCCTTCTATCCCATGACTCCTCCTCCAAAACTCAGCCCATTTCTAAGCATGAATGAAAAGATCTAGATTAAAAAAACTGATGCTTCACAAGCAAGCTGGTAATGTCCTCCACTGTAGCTCACTAGTACATTGTTTTCCTTTATTTGTTGACAATTCCCAACGGTTGTGTTATAGAAGTCTAATAAAACCTCTTCAATGGTTAATCCTCTTTACTCACAATTTTATATCTTGAGCTTCTTTATGCATAATCTCCAGAATAGATTTACAAGCCGCAGAGGTGCCTTCGGGAGTGGAGAGGATAGTAATGGACTTCTCCGCAGCACCTGCGTTCTCTTTACGATGGACGTCGATTCTGACAGTGGGTACAAGCAGAGAGAAACATGCCGTCAGTGTGTACTCAAAGTGGTGTATGTCATTACTAACTGTAAAGTCACTGGACTTCTGGGCCAATAGTGGACGACTTACTTCCCTCAATAGTGTCAACACTGATGATTGAGAGTTGAGTTTTAATTGCAAAAATCCTCCTCTCATTCTTCAATTCAACCATGCAGGGACCTTCTTCCATTCAGCCCAACCTGTATGTGCTTAAAGCTTCCTTTTAATATGCCACAGAACAAACCTCTTATCCAATAGCCTTGGTTCAGACAAAAGGCTTTTTTCAGCACTAAACAAGTAGAAACTGGAATGCATGACGAGAAAGCTGAAGTTGGAATCCCACAAGCCAAGTCACACTCCTTAATCTGCACAGTATCTCCACTATTAGAATTTATGAACAGATTTTGCCCATCTGCCTTCATTTGCAAAGTTCTTTCTACCTTGTGCTATTTTAATACAAGAAACTCTGCTACATAACAGGAGTAGCACCCAAAGAGATGGCAAAACAACAAACTCAAAGACAGTAAGCACATGGCCAGGAGGCAGGTTTGCAGAATGTGCCCTTGGTTTTTGTTTAAACAATTATATATTCCTGAGTGTTTTCGTGTACATCCAAAAAACAAAACAAAACAAAAATACAGAGAGACTAGAAGCAAATACTGTTGAATAATGATGCATGGAAGGGATTGTAATAACTGCAATTAAAATGAAATATGATAGGATTCGAGCACAAAACCAATGTTCTCCCATGTAAACAATCACTTAATTCACATTAAAAGCTTTCAAAAAAAAAACCCACAACAGAACAGTAAGTACAAACTGATATTTAACTTTAACAGTAATTACATCCAGCAATCATCTCTGTTTGTTGTACTGTGGTGGCTTGTTTGCTACTGTGATGCTGAAAGCTATGCCATCAGTATTTAAAAAACAGCAAGATCAACTATGTTTCAGTGGAGCTGATACTAAGACAGACTAGTAAGAAGGAGAGGCGGACTACTTTTGACAACTTCATGAATAACAGTGAAAACTGTTTGATATAGTGTTGGAAGATGAGTCCCTCGGCTGGAAGGCACTCAAATCATGACTAGGGAAGAGTTGCTTCCTCAAAGTAAGAGTTCACCACAATGATGTGAATGGAGCAAAGCTTTCAGGGCTTTTATTTGCTGGTGGAGCATAACACAAAATGAGAAGAATCAGTTGCAATCATCCATTAATAATCAGAACACCTTGTATGAAGTGTGAGTCTAGGAAAACTGGAAGTCATCAAAAATGAAATGGACCTGGCATACCATTATAAAATAGACACTTGAGGGAGAGAGAAAGGAATAGCCAGAAATATCACCATAGAAAGCTTCGAAGTCCGTCTTCTACCTATAACTGATTGGAATACCTAAAATGAGGCTACAACATGCCCAGTGAGGAAGGCTTCCTGCGGAGCCTCTGCATTACATAAGACCATAGGTAGAATCCTGAACCTCACTCAGAATCATCGGTGGTGGGAAATTTCCACTTCAAAGGACAAGCAGACCAACCTAGAGAGACTAGACAAACAAAAGATACTTCTTGAAAGAAAGACCGACAGAAAAATACAAAACAATAACGGAAGTCCAACTGATTACAAGAACAAGCAAGTTGCTCGCCCAGGAGATATCAAGGCAAGTGGTCGGGTCCCCACAGGGCAAACCTGTGTTCTGATTGGTGACCACGCTCGTCACCGATAAGGGGAAATGAGGGAAAAACAGCAATGAAGCTGCGAGCTAAGCCCTACAACAGTCAATAGACTCCTGAGAACCCGGGTGAAGACCTGGTTGGCCAGCAGTATGGCAAGGCAAGACCCGGGGATATAGCCAGAGAGGACTAGAGTGGAGAGTGAAGCATCCAGCTGATAAGAAGAGAGGGCATATGCATAAGAACACCCACACTTGCAGATAATATCCACTTGACCTGGCTTCAATGACTGGATAATCAGAGCTCAACTAGAAGAAAGAAGAGGAAAAGAGTAATCTGATTTTGATGACTTTGGCCTACATCTATGGATGCAGTAGCTCAAAAAAGATGGAATAAATCTTTACAGAGAGGATCATTCCCACCCCTTCCAAAAACAGAGTAGACAGGGATGGGCAACTTGAACATGGGCTACCCAAAATGGGGGGCTACAAAGGCAAGAAGTGACTGATTTACAAGCTTTCAAGAGGGAGCCTAGATCCAGAGGCCCCAGAGGAAAGCAGAATCTCCACTGAGTAGTATCCAGTCTGTGTAGGCGGGGCTGATGAAAGGAGATGTGGATATATCTCTTGTGATATAATAGTGAATAATTGTTATCAAGACTGACTGTGAGGGTTGGAAATATAGAGGTGGACATTTTGTAGCAAAAGGAGGGGAGTGATTAACTTTGCAGTCCAGGAGCAGAGGTCCCTGGGACCATCAAGGAAGAAAAGCAGAGTGTGGGACCCTACCCAGAGAAGCAATGATACCAGAGCTGGAGGCAGAGACGATGAAGTGGAGAGATGGTGTGGCTGGGGACTCAAGACCCAGAGAGGGAGAGGGGCTGTGTGCTGACGACCGGGTGGGCAGGCTTGTAGGGTATACCCTTTTGTTGGTTGATGATGCATGGAGGGGACTGCAACCATGGCAATGAAATGATATACGATCGGATGAATGTAAAGCTAATGTTCTCCCATGTAAACTATCACATAATTCACAATAAAAAAAAAAAAAAGAAAGAAAGAAAGAAATGGAACACATAAAGGTTGATATCCTAGGCCTTACTGAGCTATTGCTCATTTTGAATCAGACAATCATGGTTTACTATGCCAGGAATGTCAAATTGAGCATTTTCAATATCTTGAAGTACAATTCTGCCTATTATAGGTTTATCTCCCTATACTTAAACCAGTTAATATCATTGTTACTCAAATTTATGTACCAATTAGTAAAGTCATTAATGATGAACTTGAAGAATTCTACCAACTTTTTAACTCTGAAATTTATCAATTATTCCATCAAGATGCACTGATATTCTGGTGATTGAAATGTACAAGTTAGAAACAAAGAGGAAGGATAAGAAGGTGGAAAGTATGGCGTTGGTGACAGAAACAATACCCGAGATCGCATGATATCAGTTTTGCAAGACCAACAACTTATTCACTGCAAATACCTTTTTTTCAACAACATACACCTGGACCTCACCAGCTAGCATACACAGAAATCAAGTTGACTACATCTGTGAGAAGAGTCGATGCAGAGGTTCAGTATCATCAACCAAAATAAACCTAGAGACTCACTATGGAAGAGACCATCAATTGCTCATATGCAAATTCAGGACAAAGCTGAAGAATACTGAAGCAAGTCCACAAGTGCCAAAATATGAGTTTAAATATATTCCACCTGAATTTAGACACTATCTCAGTAACAAATTTGATGCATTAGATACTAATGACTGAAGGTCAGAAGAGTTATAGAATGACATTAAGAATATGCACCATGTGTTGGGTAGGGCAATATACAAGAAGGGGGAGGGGATGGAAGGACAAGGTAGATTAGGGGAACACTGAGACTGGTTTGCATGAGCTAAGTGGGACAGAGGTAAACTGTATGCTCAACCTTGGAACAACAGGGCTGTGTGATACAGAGATCGAGGAATAGTCTGAAGCGGGGAAATAATACTAAGATGCTTGACCGTCTTATGAATATTGGTTTTCCCTACCTACTATTGTAAAATAGACGCTTGAGTGGGATAGAAAGGATTGTAGGGAAACATGAATACAGAAAGCTTGTAAGCCCGTCTTCAGTCTATAACTGATTGGAATACCTAAAAGGGGTTCTAGAACTTGCCCAGTGAAAAAAAAGCCTTTGCAGAATCCGGAGCCCCATCCAGAACTTTCTGAGGTGGGACGATCCCACTAGCAAGGACAAGCAGACCAGCCTGGTACAGCTAGAGTGACAGAAGATACATCTTCAAAGAAAGTTCATCAGGAAAAACCCAAAACAAAAATGTCAGTATGACTGGCTACTATAAGAATAAGCAAGCTGTTCGCCGGGAATCCATCAAGGCAAGCAATCAAGTCCCATCAGGACAAACACCCTTCTAAGACAGAAACTCAAAGGGAACACATGAGCAGGCATGTAAGCTTGCTGACAGCCACATTGGTCTACTGGTGAATAGAAAAGACGGAAAAAACAGCAATGAAGAAACGGGCTGAGTTCAACCACATTCCACAGACTCCCACTGACCTGGATATGAGTAAGAGAAGAGGAAGGGCTGGTTGATCCCAAGTTTGGTGATGAGACTTGGGGATATCTGAGCCCATGGACAAGGACATAGCCACAGAGGGCTAGAGCTGAGAGTGAAGCATCCAGCTGATACGACGTGAAGGGAGATGCACAAAAACACCCACACTTGCAGATAGTACCCATCTGACGTAGCCTCGATGGCTTGATAATCAGAACAAGACTAGAGGAAGATTTAAAAAAAAATTTTTTTTGATAAAGGAAATGAGGGTAAAGTGCTACAATTTGTTAGGTTCCATCAAGTCAGTACCGACTCATAGTGACCCTCTGTACAACAGAACGAAACATTGCCCAGTCCTGGGCCACGCTTGACCCCAGTGATGCTGCCACTTTACCAATGCATCTCCCTAGGGGTCTTCCTCTTTGTCTCTGACTCTCCACCTTACCAAACATGATGTCCTTCTCCAGTGACTGGTCCCTCCTGACAATTTGTCCGAAGTATGAGAAACCAAGTTTGGCCATCCTAGCCTCCAAGAAGCACTCTAACTGCACTTCTTCCAACAAAGATTTGTTGGTTCTTTTAGCAGCCCAAGGCACTTTCAATATTCTCCTCCAACACCATAACTCAAAAGCATCAATTCTTCTATGGTTTTCCTTATTCACTGTCCAGCTTTCACATGCATATGAGGTTATTGAAAATACCATGGCTTGGGTCAGGCGCACCTTAGTCCCCAAGCTGACATC